CTACCAAAAAGCTCAAGGACTTCGTCTTCAAAAATATTTTGTGCCACTATGGGATTCCTCATACCCTTATCTCTGATAACGGGAAGCAGTTCGACAATGAGGAGTTCAAGCAGTTTTGCGACAAGCTGGGTATCCATAAGAAATTTGCCTCAATCGCAAGACCGCAGGCAAATGGTCAAATTGAAGCTGTCAACAACACCATCAAGCACACTCTAAAGGCCAAACTTGGCGCAGCCAAGGGAAATTGGGCCGATGACCTTCCTGAAGTTCTGTGGGCATACAGGACAACTCTAAGAACTTCCACCTTAGAAACTCCTTTTTCGCTACCATATGGCTGCGAAGCAATGATCCTTGTGGAGGTAGGAACCGGTTCACTTTGGAGGGACCTGTTCAACGAGACAGACGATGAGGCGCTTATGCGCGCAAGTCTGGATGTAGTTGAAGAATATCGTAGCAAGGCTCAGCTAAGAATTGCAGCCTACTGGTAACGCGCGAAAAGGTTCTTCGACTCTAAGGTTAGAAGAAGAGACTTCCAGATCAGCGACCTCATTTTGAAGGAAGTTCTTCTCGGTACTAAAGAACCGAGCGCGGGAGTTTTAGGACCGAACTGGGAGGGCCTATACCGCATCGCCAAAGTGATAAGACTGGGGACTTATCATCTCAAAAGGCTGAATGGTTCCAAAGTACCGCGAGCTTAGAATGTTGAACATCTCCGACCATATTATTAGTAATTCCGAACTCAGTTTCTTCTCGTAAAGATGTTACTTTTCTTAGTCCTTGTAAATAAAAGACGTCCTTTTGCAATTATCTTTCCATGTGTATAATTCTGTTCGCATAAATTTGTATCGATGTTATTGTAAACAATTAGAATGCGATCTTATATGTAACATAAAGTACGAAAATTATAAGTATTCATAACAGATTAAGGAAGCCATGTCTTTATTTATAAAATAAAAAAGGAGTACAAAAAGCGAGCATGGGAAAGGCAGTACAAAAAGTAAAAGCAATCATTGGCCTTCATCCCCAATTCCTGGAGGCGCGACCTCATCGTCCCCAGGCTGATCGTAGACTACCTAGCCGGTCGCGGGCTCCTCTGGAACATACTCCAGATGCTCTTCCAGGTCAGGTCTTCGGGCGGCCTCCGCTGCATCCTCATCGTCAATTCGCGCCATGGATTTGAGGATGTCCTGGTATTCCTTTAGGAGGTCAGACAGATCCATTTCGGGATTCTTCGGCCATAGGGCATAGATGGACTGAATTGCCCATTCAGCAACCTTCTTCTTGATCTCCAATTCTTGTCGCTGCATCTTTTCGGTCAACGAAGTGACTCGGCCCTGGCTAATTTGGAGTTCGGCCTCAAGCACCTACCTTTGCTTTTCTATGGCCTCCCATAGCTCTGCCCTTTTTCGCTCTACTCATAAGGCCCGCTGGGAGGTCGTTTGCAGCTTCTGCTCTTTCTCGCCAGCCTCCCTGGTGAGTCTGGCCACCATCCTCTAGAGCTTCTTTACCTCCTCTCCATGCTTCTCTAGCTCAACCTTCTGATAGTCCACCGTGCAAAGAGTAGCATTCCTTTCATTTAAGTACTAGTTCGCTGAAACGGTGGATAAGTCTTTCTCTGCTTTAGCAGCTTCTAAGTCCCGCTTAAGCCGCGCATTCTCTTCTCTCAGCGTGCCATCCCCTCGACAGCTCCCAACTGGACCTTTTGTAGGGACAAGTGCATGGAGAGCAAAGCCTGCGAACGAAAATAGTAACAAGTTAGTTTCCTTGCTACTGAAAAGAATAAATGTAAAGTCCTTGCCGAGGACAGCTCGTTCTACCTAGCTCAGGTGCTGAAGGGATATGGACATCAGGTCCATAGGGTTGGAAGCCACAAACTTCTCAAAAGCCTCCGCGAGCCCGTACTCTAGCAGGGTAAACCACTGGCAGTAGATGATCCAGAAGTTGCCTCATCGAGTCCAACACGGGTGTGTTCGTGCCCATACCTGCAGCAAGAATTGTATCGCCCACTGGTTCCTTGCCCGGTCTCCTCCCAGGGTCCACGGCTTCGCTCTGCCTTGTTCACGATTCCCTCGGAGCAATGGAGATATCGGTTACACCCCTGGAAGGCCCTCCCGAGGGAAACGCTTGGTAAGGCTGCGACCTCTCGGGCTGAACACCCAGGCCCTCTGGTTTGGACTCTGACTCTTCGGTCCGTAGTTGCTGTTGCTTTCGCTTCTTGGATTTTTGGGCCATGGTCTTGTGCTTCGGCTAAACAGCCGAAGGCTGGGGAACCCTAGCAGGTCGTACTGGAGCACCTGTCGGTGTCCTTCCAATGAGGGGACCGTTGGGAGCTGCTCTAGCCGATCCGGTGGCGCTTACTTAAGGGAAGGTGAATTGCCTTGGTCTTGGTGATCTAGGCACCTTAGGAGGCATGGTTGCTGCATGCGAATATCGTTAGCAAAACAGTTCGCTATGGAAAAATCAAAAAGCAGGCTAAGGTTAAGAAGCTTACTCGATGGGGTCTCTAAGGTCGCTTCGGGGTTGAAGAAACTGTACTTTCACAAATTTGCGGTTGTCACGAGCAGCCTTGCGTTGCGACTCTCTTTGGGCAAAAAATCGAAGGTAGTGATCCTGTCTGGATCCTCGAGGAGCGATAACCTAGTCGTTTTGTTAACTGTGAAGAAATAAAGAGCTCATTAGCGAAGAACAAAAGGGAAATTCGCGACCTCAAAAGAAAGGAGAACCTACTCGGCTCCAGAAAGTGGCAAATGTCATTGTATCAAAAGAAAAAGAACTTCGTCTTGTATGCCCTTACATTACTGGGGTAACTATGTATTCCCGCTTCTATCGTAGAGCGCTTAGAGAGGTAGAAAGAGTCCTTGTCCTTACTCTTCTTCAGGATGTACAAGCAACCGAGCTCCTCCGCGGTTAGCTCGCCTAATCCGTTTTTGCCGCAGGCAATATACATAGCCACTACTATCATATATGCGTTCGGCATTAGCTGTAGCGATGCAATCCTAAAATGATTGAGGACCAACCTGACAAAAGGATGGAAAGGGATTAACCTTCCACTCTTGAAAATGTTCTCGGAGATCACAGCCATCCCTTGTGGCAGACTCCGAGCTGTGTGTATCCTATCTTGGAAGACCTCCACACTGAGAGCGTATTGGTCTACCACCTTTTGAATGTCCTCGACAGTAATCATCAACAGGATCTCTTGAGGGAGACCCGCATGAGCATCCTGCACAGGCGAGCTGGTCCCCTCCTCAATTCTGGTCGTTGGGGAGTCCATTCTACTGTGGTTTGAAAAAAGTGACATGCAAGGAATCATTCAATCCTCGTACACTATTTCATATGATGACATGGAGGAGAAAGTAAAAAGCTTCCTCCCTTAAACCCTAGAAGAACCCTAACAAGAATACTTTTAGAGCCACCATCAAATGGCTCAAACCCAAGGAGAATATTTCATCTCCGATCAACTACTGCCAGACTATCATTGCACGACGACTATCGAAAACAAGAAATAATAATAAAAGTGGCAGAGAAACCATCCTTACCTCTTGGAATGAGAAGATGAATCCTCCTGCTTCGAATATCAAGCGCGCACCAGCCTGATAGACAAAGGACCAAGGCTCACAAAAATTTTTACTCTCTCTGAGAAGGTGAGTATTATGGCATTACTTGAAGTGAGCTTGGGGTTTTGTAGTGAAGGAAGTGGTGCTTTGGTTTCTCAAAGTCAAATGACGTTTGGGCAGAAAATGCATATGATCGTTGATCGTGACCACATGTCGCAAATCAATGAAGAAGAGTGACCGCCACGCTTCGAGAAACCAAATCGTCGTTCTCTTTCGTTGAAACACTCAAGCAACGGCACGTTTCCCTCCTCCACATTAAATGCGCCCACTTTCGCATTTAATGCTCTGATAGGGAATGTCGTTTCAGCATGACTCGTATTTAATGTGCATGGTTGGCATTTATTGCGCACAGGACACATCTATCAGAGCAAAAGATATTTCATCAAATGTATCAGCTACAAAAGTGCAACGGATAACATCTGAAGAGGTCATTATATAGAACACTCTTCGTCTTATGTCAGTTGCGAAGCGACGTGACTTTTCGATCTTGTCTTATGTCAGTTGCGAAGTGACGTGATTCTTTGCCTTCGGCAAAAATTCCGCTAAGTGGAATAAGGTCGTGAACTTCGGATAAAGACCATAATCATCGTTATGGCACTAAATATGATCTAAGAATAGATCGCTGACCCTTAGACTAAGTCATTTCAGGTCGCCTGCATGGAAACGTTTCTTTGACCTCTTTGCAGCTAGGTCGGATCGACCAGTATCTCGTCAAACGCATCAAATCAAGGCATAATATGTAGTTTCCAAGGTTCGATTCTCAAACCTTAAAAACTAGGGGACTTCTGTTATGCCTAGAAAAGTAGGGCTGACGTAGAACCCTGTCAGCGTAAGCGGTCAGAGCTTAGGTAAGTCCTGCAGCCGTTCAGACGTAGCCACGTCGCACGCTGACGTAAGCGGCATGCTCCTGCCAGTGCAGTGGGTGTACGCCAGGCTGGTGAAAGGCTGGAGATGATCTACGTGTCCAATCCCTGCAAACGTCGAGTAAATCACTCGAGCAGGTGAACAACAGGACACAAGGAAGGATTTGCATGGCAATCTGACCCACTCCCTGATTTAGTAATGATTACCTAAACTCATCCCACTATAAATAGAGGGTTCCTCTCCCGTTTGTGGGATTAGCTAATTTCTCTCTGTAATAGCATATATATACTCTTTCTCTTTCTCTTGTAATCTCTTGTAAGTCAGCTCGCTGAACGTGACCCGACCTCATATATTAATATGATACTAGTGGACGTAGGATTTGCTTACTTAAGCATCTGAACCACTTTAAACACTGTTTTCATCTTCTATTCAGTTCAATACCCCCGTACACATGTGTCTTTTGAGTCAGCTCAGCATTTCCCACGTGCATTTAGTTGGTGTCAAAATCACGCATCAACACAGTCTATGATAAGCAGAATGACATCATTAAATCCATTCCTGACTTCTGGTTAACTACTGTGAGTAGTTTGTTCTTATTTGTTTACATGGGGAAAACTATAATTCATGAACTATTATGATCAAAAGCTTTTTGTTGTTGACTTGTTTCTCCCTTTATGTAGTTTATTTGTCATCCTGCTCTTGGTGAATGATATGAACCCACTCCAATAACTCAACAATTTGGGCTGGGTCATGGGTCTTTCATGTACTTAGGTAGAACTTTCCTTAGAAAACCAGCTTGCCAAGGGAGGGTGCCCAAGCCTTTATAACTCACATGCCCACCCTTTTCCCTTTCAATGTGGGATCCTAACATTCCCCCCCACGCTTCGAGACCTATCGCCCTCCTTGGTCTTCTTTCCAAAGAGTGCTCGCCCTCATCGGCTACCCCGCTCTCATCGGCCTTTACTGCCCTCCCTTTGGGTCTTACTTCGCTTAGAAGCCTGTCAGCAACTCTGCTTCTCAACCCCTCAGGGGGCCCACTAGGCCCTGCTACGTGGGCTCCATGTCAGCCTCTTTACCCCTTGGGTGACTTCGCAGATCCCCTTTCCTTGGGGTAACAGCCCGAGCCTAAGGTCAGCCTGCCACGCGTGCACGGGATCATGCTCTGATACCACTTTGATAGAAACCTCCTTCTATCGCAACCTGCAAAACCACACATGCACCCCAAATACCTAGAATTCCTAATCACCCTAACAACCAACGCAAGACAAATCCTCTCAACTTGACTTTCTAAAATACCTCTACTGTCTTACTATTAATATTAAAAATAAACACCAATTCAATCATCAACAAGGTACACAAAGTATAATCCAAAAAATGAATAGCAACTGACAATAAGCAAATTGACAATAAGAGACAATAAAGGAAAAAGATAACCAAGATAACTAGCTGGCTTCGAGGGCCAGTACCTCCCCAACCCAAATTCTGTTTTACTTTTTCAATATCCCCAAACATTCCCTGTCAACTCTTTTTGTGCACAAATCCCACTCTAACATAATTTCTTTAATCCAATCTATGGATGCCACCTGTCCATTGCTTTATACACAATAAAATGCTATTTATCCTCTATTCACTCTCTGATTCTTTTTGCTAAAGACTTGCACTAAAGGGGTCTCATCATTACCGTCCCTAAAGAGAGCCACCTTGTCCCCAAGGTGGAATAAAGGAAATTAGAGATCAATGGAGGTGAATTCCTCCCAAGTGTTCTCATATGTGGGTAGACCTTTCCATTTAATTAAGACATCCAAAGTACCATTTAGAAGTTTCCGCGTACGTAAAACATCCTCCGGTTCGACCCTCAAAACAAGATCTTCATCTAGCGCCGCTGAGAAAGGTTGGGCAGTAGGTGGTGGGTACTTTGTTTTCTTGAGTTGTGACACATGGAAAACATCATGAATGCATGTTGTAGGGGGTAGATTCAAACAAAAGGCCACTGTTCCAATCCTTTCTTTACCTTCAAAAGGGCCATAGAATCGGGGACTTAGTTTCTCATTGTACCGACGAGCTAAAGAGCGAAGACGGTAAGGTTGTAACTTAAGGTAAACTGAATCCCCCACTTCCAGTTGAACTTCCCTCCTCTTTGCATTGGCATAGCTTTTCATTCGACCCTGAGCTTTGAGGAGATTCTCCTGTAACTCAGCTAAGATGACATTGCGAGCTTGCAATTGACAGTTCACTTCATCGATAGTTGACCCATGATCGAAAAACTTAAGAAGAGTTAGAGGATCATGACCATAAAGTGTTTTAAAGGGGTCATACTTGTGGAGCCATTGAATGTTGTATTAAACCAAAACTCGGCCCAAAAGATCCATTTAGGCCATTGAAAAGGCTGACTACCCATAAAACAGCGTAGATATGACTCTACACATCGATTTACCACTTTGGATTGGCCATATGTTTGAGGATGGTAGGCCGAACTCATTTGAAGTTGCGTTCCCGAATGTTTGAACAATTCTTTCCAAAAGTGACTGATGAATATTTGGTTGCGATCAGAGAAAATCAATTGAGGAAACCCATGAAGCCGAACAATCTCCTTAATGAAAAGGTTGGCGACATCCATGGCCGTGTAGGGATGTTTAAGTGCCAAGAAATGGTTGCACTAAGTCAATCGGTCAACCACCACCAAAACAGTGTCGACGCTATTTGCTTTCGGAAGTCCGGTGATGAAGTCCATGGAGATGTCTTCCCACACCTGATTAGGAATATATAAAGGCTGCAATAAGCCGGCAAGACTCAAAGCTTGGTACTTATTTTGTTAAAAAACCGAACAAGAGTCCACATACTCTTTGATATCTTGTTTCATGCCTTCCCAATACACCACACTGTTGAGTCTTTTATAAGTGCGAAAGAAACCCGAGTGGCCCCCAACTGGTGACGAGTGAAACTCATGTAGGAGTAGTTGAATGTGAGCCCCTTTCTTTGGTAAAACCAGCCGGTCATTATACAAGAGATGGTACCTAACTAATTTAAATGGTGGATGGCCATTGGGATTGAAAGAATCAACATGCATGAAGAGTGGTGGAGATGAAGAATGAAAGCATGAAAGCATGGATTCTAAAACCGGTTTTCAAACAAAGCTTGGAAAAGAGATTATACCTACTCCTTTGCTTTGGATTGATGAAGATTAGCTTCAAAAGGATGAAACCTCCACACTTTAACACCACCTTGAGAGATTAGAGAGTGGCCTTGGGTTTGAGAGAGAGTTTTGGTTTGTGTTTTTGTGAACTAGTCAAGAATGAACAAAAATGCAACCTTTTGCACTTATATATACTTGGGCAATATTGCAATTATTTATTTTTCACTTCCAAGCCCAATAAAATCTTATTTTATAAAGGGACCCCACGAATTTAATATGCTACCCTTTGAATAATCAATATTATTCAAGGGCCCATGTAAACTAAACTAGTTTACATTAACAACCCAAAAATTTACCCCTTTTTACCCTTTAACTATTAAAAGGTTATTTTTGTTCATCTCATTAATCTTAACACTTTAAGATATAATAATTAAATATAATTAATTATTGCTTGACCATTTTAACCCTTAAAATGTCACAAATGATTTCTATGTAACTATTACTATAGAAATCCCGTTATTACCCTCGGAAGGTGCTAGCCCTCTTCGGATAATCATTTCTCTCTCTCATCCTTCTCTAACTTCCCAAGGCTATTGGTGTGACCATGTAGGTCCACCGTGGATTAGCCGTGAGCCGGTTCTGGATGAATCCGGAAACCTGTCCGGAGGCCCAACGACTATGGTAAACATCTAGCAATGTGCCATAGTCCCTAAACCACGATGAAGAAATACTTCATCGAACCCATTTCAGATCATACGTACCATGCAGGTAAAGTCCCTCCATTGAGATATCCTAATCGAGTATGGATTCATGGAACGTCAAAATCCTAAACTCGATCTTCTACCGAATTGTCGATCAATATGTCCGGAACTTGTCATCACAAACTTACTTTTGTATGACTAATAATAGACTCTGGCCAGAGATTCAGTTTTCCGACATTTATCGATGTTCGTCTAGGAACTCGAATCCGGATGGAGTCAGCGGTACTCCCGATCCTATATTTCCGAGTCAATGGATCCCCTCTTGACCATCGTTCGTTTCCGCATATGAACAACGCATGACCAAATAGGCTTTATTGTACGAAACATGATTAGTCTCGTACTTATACACCGTATGAACCATACGCATCCATATCGGATCCGACTACAATGTCTCAGGTCAAAGGACTACATCGTGCACTGATATAACCAAACGATAAATCATTGACTACATGCTTTTCCAAGTGATTTGTCGTTATTCGGTCACGTTCGAAAAACAGTTCACCAACCATTAATCCATACCAATGCCCTAGTGACATGACTATCATCGTCATCCGTACTTATATCAACTCATGATATCTTTCGGAAGCATCCGGTATGCCTACTGTACAATATAGTTGCCCAAATTTATATTGCTTCCGTAGGGAACCCTTTTCGATAATTCATTTACCTATTAAATGAATCATCTGGACAATTCATATACATACTTTATTTTAAATGCATGACTGAATAAAGGAAGCAATTTACATATATGAATTGAAGAACTCTTTCTTCTATTATTTATGATATATATAGATACAAGACAAAATGCTCTGAAACCGACAACACGAATGGTTTCTAGGTCATACACTAATATACACTAACAGGGATCCAACAGTAGCTTTTGGACAATCCCAAGCAAGTTGTCATCTTGTTGAATAGCAGTCTCCAGTTTTGTAATCCCTGCAAAATAACTCACAGACAGCCCATTGAAATCAACCAGTTCACTTCTTCTAGATAACGCACCAGCTACCCGATTCTCTGTCCCTGGTTTATACTGGATGATAAAGTTCAAGCCTATCAATTTAGTAACCCATTTCTATTGGTCTTCACTCAGTAGCCGCTGATCTGTTAGGAAATGTAAGCTTCGTTGGTCTGTTTTAATGATGAATAGTCACCCCAATAAGTAATGTTGCCACTTCTGAACCACAATTACGATAGCCATTAATTCGCGTTCATAAACTGATTTAAGCTTAGATTGTGTGGATAACCCTTTGCTAAAAAAAGCTAACAGTTTACCCTCCTGCATCAGAACAACCCCTAACCCACTCCCTGAGGCATCCGTCTCGATGATAAATTCTTTAGCAAAATCTTGCATAGCCAACATTGGTACTGATGTCATGATCTGCTTAAGCTCATCAAAGGCTTTTTGGGCTTCAAGATTCCATTGAAATGCATCTTTCTTAAGTAAACATGTAAGAGGAATGACTATTTTCCCGTAATCTTTGACAAACCTTCAGTAGTATCCAGTTAAACAAGAAATCCATGTAATGCCCTGATATCCTTAGGAATTGGCCACTACAACACACTGTCGATTTTGGAAGAATCAACCGCCACCCCATCCTCCGAAATGACATGCCCTAAGTAGTCTAATTTTTGTTGGCCGAAGAAACATTTCTTCTTGTTGGCAACCAATTGGTGTTCTTCAAGTGTGCTAAGGGTGATCTCCAAGTGACGAATGTGTTCTTCTTTTGTATGGCTGTAAACCAATATATCGTCAAAGAAGACCAAAATGAACCGTCGCAGGAAAGGTCGAAATATGTCATTCATCAAGGCTTGAAAAGTGGCTGGGGTATTGGTTAAGTCGAAAGGCATGACTAAGAATTCATAATGCCCTTCGTGTTTTCTAAATGCTGTTTTGTTGGTATCCTCATTCTTCACTCAATCTAGTGGTAGCCCAACTTCAAATCCAGCTTAGAAAAAAATTGAAGCTCCTCCTAACTCATCAAATAATTCATCCACCACTAGAATAGGAAACTTATTCGGAACCGTTATCTTATTTAGAGCCCTATAATCAACACAGAATCTTCATCCGCTGTCTTTCTTTTTCACCAGTAACACTGGGCTGGAAAAGGGACTAAGGCTGTAACAACTGCTGAAAACTAATACAATGCATGCATAATAACAATATAAAATTTGGGCCCAAAACTTTCTTTTCATTATAAGTCATATGTCTTTTATACACAAAGAGTACTGTTTACAAAATTCGTTTAAAAAGACAAAACAGGGGAAACAGTGTAGCTATTTCTCTTCGCTTGCCGACGCCCCTCCGACTGCATCATCACCTAGATCCTGCATCCACAAAGGAAAATAACGGGGTGAGCACAAAATAATGCTCAGTAAGTAAAAACCTCTATCTTCTTTGTCTTCCCCGTATGTATAACTCTTAATTCTTTCCTTATACTATTTCTGTTTCTAATAACATCATGGCCTCATCTTACCGAGGTAGGCGGCCGGATGGCGTTCACATAGCACCATCTCACTCTCTATGACTATCGGGTGGAATTCACACAGTACCAACCCGTTCTTAGTGACTATCGAGTGGGGATCACAAAGCGCCGACTCGGTTTCCTAACTATCGGGTGGAGATCACCTAGCACCTACCCGTTCCTCATGACTTTTGGGTAACGATCACCAAGCATTAACCCGTCTCTAGTCACTATCGGGTATGTCACAAAGCATCAACCCACTTCTACTAAATGTCGGATGATGATCACAAAGCATTAACCTAACTAACGGGTGGTGGTCACAAAGCATCCATCTGTGTCTAATACTTATCGGTGACGATCACAAAGCATCGACCCATCTCTAAGGGCTATCCGGGTAGTGATCACAAAGCACCAACCCGATTCTCATAACTATCGGGTAATGTCACAAAGCATCAACCCATCTCTACTACTCTTCTAATTCACTCTATTCTAGCATTTTCTCATCTCTCTTCCCTAGAGTAGTTGCATTCACCAATCTCTACTCATGAGTAATTGTATACACAAGGTTTCTTACTCTTTCTTAGGTCACTTTTCAATGCACATAATAACATAGGGTGGTTCATCTCCACTAATGCACTATGAAATGCCAACATGCAATGTTGCAAAAAAAATTAAGGTTCATTACTCAACTCAAACCTCTACTAGGCATTTCATCAAACAACTCAAGTGCATTATAAAACCCTACTATAGCAATGATCCTAAATCTTTCTCTAACCATCCAAAATGGGGAGAAACCCCTACACATAACCATAAAACCTGTCAAAGAAAGCACTTCCAAAAAGGGATCCACAATACCCCTTCAATTTCATCTCAAACTACCTTTCCCAACCCAACAACTCATTTCTCATATTTGCAAGGTCTAAACATTCACAAAGCATAGAAATCTCTATTTAAACCTCCATACATGGCATATCACATGTATATCACATACATACATCATTTCTATCAAAACCCTAATCAAGAAAATTCTTAAATCTCAACTTGGGTTGGGGTTTACTTACCTTGTTATGGAGAGACTTCACCAACTCTTCCTTTCACTTGGTTTGCTTGACTTTTTCTCTACTCATAACCAAAAGAACAAAAACCCTCAAACTTCAATATAAACTAAAACTCACTAATCACACAACTTAAATAGGAATCCTTACCTTAGAAAGCCTTAGGTTGATTTTCCACCCCAAATCATTTCAAAAACCCCTTGGAACTCCTTGATCAAAAGAAAGAAAAGTTGAGAGGAGTAAGGATGGAGAGCTGCGTTTTTGAGAAGAAGAATGAGGGGTTTGCTTACTCTTAATTCCTTTTAATGAAATTTATACCAAAGCATTCCCATTTTGCCCTTACTCTTCTTTGGGAATTCTATCTATATCCTTTGATTCATTACAAACTCACCCCCATATCAACATATACTCCATGAAAAATCCTTACAAACAACTCCCCACTTTTCCTGCTAATTAGGGGTAGAAAGGTCAAATTGCCCTTAGGGAAGAAAATATCTAAAACTCAACCAACATTTTAAACGGGCTGTCGCCGCGGCGAAGAAACTTCTGTCGTCGCGGCGAAACTGTCCAGCAGCTTCCCCGTGGCTTCAACACCTCTTCGCCGCGGCGAAGATTCTTCTTCACCCCGGCGAAGACTGAAACATTAAACTTCTTCTATTTTCAACCAATTTCAGGGCAAACATTCATCACAACACTCAATCGAACAATCTTACCATAAGAGCGAAAGAAGAAACAACAACTACGTACCTCAAGTGGGGCGTTACAAAGGCTGGGTTTAATGATTCAGAAGTTAACATCTCACCCACCAATTTCTCTATTTCATTTTTTTGGTAGTAGGGATAGCGGTAAGGTCTAATGTTTGGGGGTTGGGATTCGGGAGTGAGGCTAATGGAATGATCTTGGGTACTAGGCGATGGTAATCTTGATAATGAAGTAAAGACTGACTGAAACCGATTCAGAACTGGTAAGATGCTATTGTCCCCCTCAAATTCTAACTCCACAAAATACCCATGTCCCTCGCGTTGGATCGTCCTAAGCATAGCCTTTAAAGAAATTAGGGTCTTGCTTAAGGCAGGATCACCCAAAATCTTCACAACTCTGTCTCCTAACTTAAACTTCATCACTTGTGTTTTCTAATCAACTGTTGTCTCCCCCAAAGTTTCCAACCAAGCAATACCCAGAACCACATCCGCACTGTTCATCTCAAATGGGAAAAAAATGTGTATAATTGGAACTCCTTGGATATCCAGTTGCACCTCCATACATTCTCCCTCACATCGCACTCTATAACCGTTACCAATTCTCACCTCGAAAGTCTATGTCTGCATCACTGATATCCCCAATTTTTCTATCACACCCTTGCTAATAAAATTATGTGAGGCTCCACATCAATCAACACTATCACTTTAGCCCCTCTGATTTTACCCTTCACTTTCATAGTTTTTGGACCCAAAATACCCACAATATAACTAATCGAGAGCTCCGAGTCATCTTGAAGTTATTCTGCGACAGATTCACCCAACTCACCCCCACCATTGTTCGTCTCATCCTGGTTATCCTTCTCATCAATCAGAATGACGTGGAACTGTTTGTCCCTACATCGATAGCTTGGAAAGAACTTTGCATCACACCGAAAACATATCCCATACGCCCTTTTTCTCTGAATCTCGAGTTCTGTCATTTGTTTGAAAGGAAACTCCCTTTTGAAATTCAAATTGGTCGGTGGTCATTGAGCGGAGCTGTTGCTGCCGCGTTGGCTGTCGCTCGGAATAGCATGGACATGTCGATCGTTCCAATTTCGGCCTGTCTGCACACTGAAATTTGGGTTTTGGTTTGCGTTTTCATTTGCGTTACATGAAGGTGTCATCAGTTTAGACATATATGAATTCCTTGACCCGTTTTCATGATGCCCCAAACTCTTACCCAACCCACTATTATGAGTCCAAGCCATTCTATTAACTCCATTTACCCTTCCGGGCCTTACACCCTTACTTAGCCCATTCTTCAATTCATCCAAGGCCCAATTTTTCTCTTCTATTTTCTAGGCCAATTCAATCAGTTGGATTAGTGAATTGGGCTGGCCCAATCTAACTTCAGTTTTAATTTCTAGCCTGAGTCCATTTAGGAAAGCAGCCCACAATATGTCTTCTTTCTCATCTCTTAATGGTGCAGAAACTGCTTCTAACTTACGCGGTAATCTTCCACAGAGCCAGTCTTCCGGATTCCCATCAGTGCCTCATATGGTCCTCCCTCTTGGGATCCACCAAATCGATGAAGAAAAGAGAGTTTAAACACAGGCCATGATGTGATTGGAGCATGGATTTCCATCCATTGAAACCAATTTATCGCGTCTCCCTCCATACACACCACCACCGTGTTCAATCGTTCCTCCTCCGCCACGTGATACACATTAAAGTATCGTTCGATGCTAAATAACCCCCTATAAGGATCCTCACCCATGAATACTGACATTTCGATTTTTCGGCCAACAAATTCTGGTCGACTTCGTCTAGTCATTGTGTTTTCACTGTTCGTATTTGGGTTAGGTTCCTCATTCTCCTCCTCTTGTGTTTGGATTCGGGTTCACTAGTATTTCTATCGACCCACCCCTTTTAGCTCTCCTAGCGTCTTCCTCGTCTTTGCGTCTAATCCAAGCTTGGATTTCCAGCAAACAGTCCCTCATCGTTCCCATGTCCTTCTCCACAATATCTAATCTGTTTTCCATCCTTGTTCTAACCATACTCCGATCGTTACTACACTCTAATACCACTTTGATAGGAACCCACTCCAATAACTCAACAATTTGGGCTGGGCCATGGGTCTTTCATGGGCTTGAATAGAACTCTCCTTGGAAAACCGACTTACCAAGAGAGGGTGCCCAAGCCTTTATAAATCACATGCCCACCCTTTTCCCTTTCAATGTGGGATCCTAACAATGAACTTTTGAGTAATGAGGATCAAAAGGTTTGAATGTTGCTCTCTTATGAATTGATGTTGAATTTTTGCAGTAATTTATTTTACAGCTTCCATTTTTGTTATCCTAAGAAATTGAACTACTATTACACTGTTAGATTTATTTAAGCACATCAACTTTTAACCATGATGCTGGAAAAGTAGTTGTCTATTTCTTCAATTGATTTGTTTTTCCGCTTAAAAATTTTAATTGTCCGTCTGCTCTCCTTTTTACCTTGATAGATATGTAGGCACTTGAGCTCTTTGGAGGTGGAGGATTTTAAAGATGTCAAATTTGGATACTTTATTACATTTGTAAGTTTATTTATGCTATTCTTCTTGATTTTGTGAGCAATTCAAAGCTGACGTTTTATTCAGACTTACCTTTAGTAGTAGCAATGTCAGTTCATGCTCTTTATCGACTGGGAGATGTACTGATGTGTTTTTATAAGTTTCTTTTGATTTTTCAGAACTTCAACCCCAATCCTTATTTTGAGGATTCGAAACTTACAAAGACTTTCACCTTCCTTGATGATGAAGGTTCAATGAAAATTACTACTACAACAATCAAGTGGAAACAGGGAATGGTGGGGATTTAATTTTTCTGTTTAGTGCTTTCTGACAAGTGTATCTTTTTTGTTCTGCTTTGGTTTTGATTTGATTACATTCCTTTTGTATAAAGGGTTTACCGAATGGAGTTAAATCATGCGAAGAAAGGTTGGATTATTATTCGTTGGCAAATTTTGTAATTCAGAACTTTTATTTCACTGTTGTGGTTATCTGTTGGTTTTCCTGTATTGAGGATTCAATCTGAGGACATATGCGACAAACTATAATTAGTTGCTTCTAAAATTGAACTTATATAGTAAGCTTGATGAGTATCACTCTTCTGATTTGGAGTTTTCAAAATCTTTAGAAATGTTTTATGTGGCTGAGCATGGTTTGCCAGGGGTTTAAAATTTTCAGTTAATGGTACAATTAGGTATCTGTGTTTAAAGGGTAGAACTAGGGCTGTTCAACGAGGCGAGCCGCTCGCGAGCCGGCTCGGCTCGGCTTGAGTGCGGCTCGTTAACGGCTCGCCTCGTCTGGTATCGAGCCGACTCGGCTCGATTCGTTAGAGAGAACGAGTCGAGTTCGAGCCTGCCTCGGCTCGGCTCAATAGGCTCGTGAGCCGAGCCAGGCTCGAATTATTAGGGGGTTTTAGGCGTTTTTGTAAAGTATGGGGATTAAACTGGAATTTTCAAAACAAAAAGTTTGCAAAAATAACAAAAAAAACCCCGACATTAAAATCCCTAAAACGCGACCGAAACCCATTCGCTAACGAATCCAAACCAAATCAGACTGAAAACAAGAAGAAGAAGATGGGAGGAAGGGGAGAGCAGTCAAAACCAAACAAATCAAGCAAAGTGTGGTTCAAATATGGTAAACAAGTCAAGATGCCGTTGGGGTTTGGTGTGTTGCCATTTTGCTTCTCTGTGAGGTTCCTCTTTTCTCTTCTCACTAGGGAACCTTGTTAATGGTTGGTGCTGGTGATGGCATTGTTTTTGGGTGGGCTGTGTGATTTGTTTTTGGTTTTTTCTTTTTTGTTGGTGGTTGGAAGGTGGGACAAGCGGCTTTGTTGGTGAGTGCTCTGGGATTATGTTTTTTTTGTTGGTTGTGTCATGTGGTAGTATGGTTCTCTTCAAGGAAGAAGGAGGCAAGGCTTGGAGGCTACTAGACTTTTTGTTCTTGGAGTGTTTACAGCAGATGGGTGCTTTGCAGGTGGCTGGTGTTAGCGGTCTGGTGTGTGACTTCTCTATTGGCTGGTCTGATGATGGATCCCAGTTTTCGTTCAGCTGGTATGGCTGTGAGAGTGTTTCATGTGGTCTCTCAAAGGGGGTTTTGAGATGCTGGGGGTTGGGTTCTCTGCTCTTGGGTTTTAATTTTTTTTAAAAAAAATAAAACTGCATATTTTAAACCCCAATAAAAGTGAACAGATGGCAAGCGGCGGTGCGGCTCCTTCAGTCCTTGTGCCATGTATTTTGTTTCTTACTAACGTTTTTTTTTTTTTTTGACACCCTGTCACCCCCCCCCCCCTTCATCCTCTTTTTTTACTTTTTCTTTTTTGGGGCCCTCATTTTCTCTCTCTTCTCTACATCTGTGTATTTTGTTTCTTACCATTTTTTTTTTTTGAAACCGTCTCATCCTCTTTCTCTTTCTTTACTCTTCTTTTATTGAAACAGTAAAAATTTTGAGAATTAAACAATTACACTTCATTCACAACTTAGAAGGAAAGGGAAATTTAGTAAAAAAATCACAGTTTAAAAGAAATAAAAAAGGGCAGACGACAAACAAAAAAAAAAAACAAAAAAAATTTGCAGACAAAAATTACTGTTTAGAAGAAAGGAAAAAAATTTAAAGGGAAATAAGAAAAAGGGCAGGCACCCAGCGAAATTTTGTAAAAAAAATTGAAAAAAAAAATTATTATTTGGAGATGGCTCGCGAGCCGGCTCGAAATATACTAAATCCACTATCGAGTCGAGCCAAGCCACATAATTTCTGGCTCGGCTCGGCTCGACTCGAACTCGGCTCGTTTATTTATCTTCTCTCACGAGCCGAGCTCGTTAAGCCGAAAACTCGGCTCGGCTCGGCTCGATAACACCCCTAGGTAGAACCATTGTTGCTTTGAGGAAGCCTTGAGAATTCACTTTTTGGGGTCATATTTGAAACCTACTTATCTTCTCCATGTTGGGGTCAGACTTAAGGGTTACTAGGCTTCAACTATTTTGGTTTACATATATTTATGTCCCTGAATTGTTTTAGGTACCAACCACAGATCTCAGGCTATTTATTAATTCCATTCATGTAAATTTATTACACTACTAGAAAAATCCTCTTTCTTGACAGAATGAGTTGATAGATTTTTTTAACTGTTCTAAAAAACAGTTAAGAATTGTAATTCTTGACAGTTTATGAACTGTTAAGAATTTGAAATAATTCATGATCGTTTTAGATGATTTTTAATAATTATTAACTGTCAAGGATTTAGTCAAAAATAAATTATACAAATTTTTTTCTTCACAATTGTAATCTCAATCCTTTAACAGTTTTTAACTGTCATGAATTAAGTTTTAAAAAAAAAAAAAATTTCATTAAGGCAAAAGTTTCCCACCGCTCAAAAAGTCGAAGTTTCACTAACGCAAATTTCCCACCCATTTCACCATTTTTTTCATGAAGGCAAAGGTTTAGGGTTATAAGATATTAAAATATACAATAAAATAAAAAAACCAAGAGATTCCCCCCAAAAACCAATTATCTACCGCCCAAAATTCTTTCGTCCAAAAACCAGGAAATTTTCCTTCTCTTCTACCCAAAATCTCTCTTTCTCGCTCTTCCACTGAATCGTAGAATCTCTCTACAACGCTGATTCATTCTAAATCCAACTTCACGGCTCAAGGTGATTATTGTTGTCAATAATATTTTCAATTTAGGGTTCTAACTTTTAATTCTTTCATTTCAACTTCATCGCTCAAGGTGCTCTCTACAACACTGATTATTGTCAAACACTGATTTTGGTGGGAGAAAAGCTTTGGTTTCGTGGAGCTGTTGCATTTTGGTTATTTTTTGGATTTTATGTTGGAGAGAAGTAGAAGAATTTCTTAAAATGCTATTAAAGATGAGGATGATTTCTGTTCCCTTTGTTATTCAGAAACATGCCGATTTTGCAACCACGGGAATGTTATTGGCGAAGCGCTGTATGCATGCTACAGGTTTTTATTGTATGTCTTAACCATTTTTTCTGGGTGAGCATTCTACATTTTTTTTGGTTCTTATTGTTCTATTGTAATGTATTTTCAAGGATCTTGCTACTCCAATCAGTGAGACTACTACGAAGGTCTTGGTGTTCCTAAAAATACGAGCCAGGATGAGATAAAAAAGGCGTTTCATGCCGTGAGTATTTGAGCACTTAATACGCTTTTAAGTTAGGGAATTACATTTTAATCATGATCATAAGAAACCCCTTACGGTAGTGTAAAAAATCTTCTGATGGATTGTTCTTTCTTTTCTGGCATCTTGCAATCACTATTAGCTGTTCTTTATGGGGTCAGTGGCTTAATTTTTCCTTAGCTCTTTAAAATAGGTGGCTTTAGTGTTTGGGTGAAAACTATGTGCACTATTTTTACTTTTAGGAATAGTTTTGCTTGTGGAATCCTTAATGGAACTTGGGAAGGTACACCGGAGATGCATCTAATTTTACTAGTACTATGAATCTAGGGATATTTGAGGTTAGCAGCGTTGCCAGATATTTTTCAACCACTTATGCCATTGGGAAATCATGTCTGCACTTGGTTTAATGTGATTATCCATCATCTAACAGACCTTTTATTCTTATGGTTATTGTCTAAGATGTTGGCATCCACAAAATCGTGCAGCTTGCCAAGAAGTATCATCCAGATGCAAATAAGAATAATCCTTTTGCAAAGAGTAAATTTCAAGAGATAACAGTGTTGGAGTAGGTGCCCTAGAACCAATCTATTATTGTAAAATTGACTCTGTAATAAATGTTTATTTATCAATAAAAGGCATATTCTTCTATATCGTGTAAATCATAGTTATGTGTAATGATATATGTCCTTAGAATGGTAAAACCGTGACTAGAGTATCAAGTGTTTTAATTTTGATAGTAAGAACCCTATGATCACATATGGTGGCTATTCTAGAAATATCCATATCTCCAGTATTATTCTAACCATGGACATAAATAATACGATAAGGTTATCATACTGTTGAATGACCTTGTCGAAAGGCAGTGACTGATCTCACTTATCAAGGTTGTTTGTCGACAACCTGGTACAACACATGGGTGTTTGCTAAAGACAAGTTCACTGGACAGACCCACAAGCGGATTCCATATGGATGGTAACCCCAGTGTCTATAGAAGAAATCCTCTAACGGATAGTGGTGCATGTGATCCTTAGACTTGAGATCACCGGAGCACCTTGTGTACCAATTAGTGTAGTTTGACACTAGCCCAACGTAATTCTATTTAGAGCTATCAATTCGGTAGTGATTGACTACAATAAGAAGTATATCGAGACGAGGCTATGGTGGATTGACAAAGGATTCATCATTTCTGGGTACGAGATAAGTTATCTCACTGGGTAATTCAGTAAATGACAATGACACTAAATCTGTGGCCACAATGAGATTGAGTTGATGCTCAATCCAATATATTATTTCGGTCATTGGTCCATTAACTGAATACAAACATGTCGAGGATATCTAAGGTTGACATTATTTATGTACCCCAGTCTCGATGAGATAACAAATGATGAAAGGATTGGACTGTAAGGTTGTTAGTGAACGACCCAGTTACGTAGCGGAAAACAAAAACATAAACTACATGGACCGTTCCTTAGAACCAAGATCCAGGTACAAAAATCACAGTTTATACAATATATATATTAAATCTGCAGAAAAATCTTTTCAAGGTTTAAGGAATCATACTCACGTTTGGAGGCTCCTCCAACTTTGTCTCTGAATGTATTTGCTACCGACTCAAGTGTAGGATCGAACCGATGTAGTCCACACGAAGATAATCGCAATGAACTAAAGAGGGATGTGCTAGATCCTCTTTAGTATTAAGAACAAAGAAGAAATAAAGAGTATTTGATTTTTCAATCAAAACTAAAAGTGGCGTGGGAGAGAGTATTTTGGGCTGGAGGGTTTTGTTTTCAATGAAAAAGTAATGAATGAATAATCTCTTAACTTTTTCAATGAAACCTTTTTTCTTTTATATTGATCTTTTAATTGCCCTATTCCCATATGGAATTGGCTTGGGCTCCAACCCAAACACCCCATGTTTCCAAACACTCCCAATTAGATATTTATTTTAATTCATCATTATCTCAATTAAAATCCATTAATATATATTTAATATATATATATATATATTAACATTTAACAATAATGATAATTTATTTAAATATATGCTAACACATATTTAAATGTAATTTCACTTATTAAACTTTTCTAACAAATTAAATAAAAGGCTACGACCTCAGCAAATTTAATTGAACTGTGAAATTACCAAAATACCATTTCATCTAAAAAGACGAAAACGCCCTTCTTACTTCCTAAGTCTTAAATTATCTTCTATGTGTGAGTCATAGACTCCTTATCATATCGGTAGTGTATAGTATCGCGATTAACACCAATTAATCGTCTCACTAATACACAGACCAAGATTGGCCCCTAGCAAGGCATCATGGCCACCCGATATATTCGGATTCAGGAAAGTAGTTACCTGTCAACGATATGGTTACCGTACAATTTGATTCTTTCATCATGTGTTATCTCGACAAGACTAAGACATAGAAATAGTGTCAACCTTCGGTTACTCTCGATATTATGTATTTAGTTTCTAGACTAATGACTTGTATTATAAACTGGATAGAGCAACAACTCAATCCTACTGTGGCCACAATTTTAGTGTCATTGCCATATACTGAATTGCGTCGTGAGATAACTTCTCCCGTACCCAGGAGTGATGAATCCTCTGTCTATCCACCATAGTCTTGATACACTCCTCGATGCAGCTAATCACCACCGTATTGACAGCTCTGAATAGAATTGCATTAGGCTAGTGTCAAACTACACCAATCGCTGCACAAGGCGCTCCGGTGATCTCAAGTCTAAGGATCACATGCACCACCATTCGTTAGAGGATTTGTTCCATAGACACTGGGGTTACCATCCATATGGAATCCTCTGGTGGGTCAGTCCAGTGAACTTGCTGTGGTGTAATCGCCTACAACAAACACCCATGTGTTGCACCAGGTTGTCACCAAACAACCTTGACAAGTGAGATCAGTCACTGCCTTTCGACAGGGTCGTTCAACACTATGATAGCCTTACCGTATTATCTGTGCCCTTACTTCAGAATAATACTGGGGCTACGGACGTTTCTAGAATGGCCACCATATGTGCTCATAGGGTTCTCACTATCAAGATTTGAAACACTTGATACCCTCGTCACGGTTCTACCATTCTAAGGACATATATCAATACATATTGCAATAATAATGATTTACGCGATATAGAATAAAATGCCTTTTATTATTGATTAATGAACATTATTACAAAGAGTCAATTCTACAATAATTGATTGGCTCTAGGGCATCTACTCTAACAATCTCCCACTTGCACTATAGCCAATCATTCATGTATTTAATATCAAATGATCTCAAGTGCCTTTCATGCTTCTGCTATGATAGAGGCTTTGTCAGTGGATCTGCAAGATTGTCGTCAGTATGCACTTTACTAATTTGCACGTCTTTCCTCTCAACTATCTCTCCAATAAGATGGAATCGTTTGAGTATGTGTCTAGACTTCTGATGAGACCATGGTTCCCTGGCT